CTGCCCGAATCCTGCCCGATGTGCCTCTGCCCGGAGTCCTGCCCGATGTGCCTCTGCCCGATGAGTCCTGCCCGGAGCCCGATGTGCCTCTGCCCGGAGTCCTGCCCGATGTGCCTCTGCCCGGAGTCCTGCGCCCGATGTGCCTCTGCCCGATGTGCCTCTGCCCGATGTGCCTCTGCCCGGAGTCCTGCCCGATGTGCCTCTGCCCGGTGTGCCTCTGCTCGATGTGCCTCTGCCCGGAGTCCAGCCCGGTGTGCCACTGCCCGGAGTTCTGCCCGGTGTGCCAGTCTTTGATATCCCGCCAGTTGCCAGACCCGGGCGGTGGAACATTTTGCCCAGCTAGGACTGTTTGGAGCGTCCTGAGGCCGCTCCTTGAGGGGGGGGTACTGTTAGGAATGGACTGGCCAGCAATGGTGGGACTCACCTGCCTTTTGATCTGCAGCAGTACCAGGGCTGGCCAGCGGGTGCTCCCAGCAATCAGAGACTCAACCTTTCAGCCAGCTAACACCTGGAACTGATGATACTGGTGTATTTAAGGGATGGCCAGACTTGCAGACTCTGCCTTGGTGTTGTGTTTGTCCTGGGCCCTGTATCTGTCCTGCATCCTGTTTCTGTTCCTTTGCTGACTTCTCCTGCTCTGATCCTGGCTTGTGACCCTGACCATCCCTCTGTCTGACCCTCTGTACTACGCTGCTTGCTACCTGTTCTGATCCCTGGCTTGTGACCCGGACCATCCCTCTGCCTGACCCTCTGTACTATGCTGCTTGCTACCTGCTGAACCTGGCCTGTGACCCCGACCATTCTCCGCTTGCTCCCCCTGTACCTACCTGCCCAATTGATATTGACCCGGCCTGCCTGACGACGCTTGCTTGTATATACTGTTATCTGTGGGTGGTTTGGTTTGGTTTGTTTGCACCGTATTATGTTTTAGTATTGCACTGCGTTTATGTTTGTACTGTTAGTGTTAATAAATTATATTGTTTATAACATATCTGAGGTCTGCGTTTCCCTGCTTCAGTCACACACCTCTGGTCATACCTGGGAGCCCTGACATTCTGTCAGTGTTCTTTTAAGCTGCGGTGAGCTGATGATGACATCAATTAAAATTAAAACATGAGAAGGCAACCCCAGTATTTTTTATTTAAAACGTTTGTATGCATCCAACGCTACCCTCTTCCCAGAATGGCAATGCTGCTGTCCAAGGATGTCTTTGTTGCTCCTCCATCAAAAGTGAAGACAGCCCAAGACAAGAAGTGTATTACTGGCCAGATCACCAGGTGAAGCTAAAGGAAAAAAAAAACTATTGCAGCTATCACAATTAGGGTTGGTTAAAGGTTAATAAGTGGTAAAATAGGAATGCATTTTACTAAAAAGAAAAAATCAAAGTTTTGTTAAGTGATGCCATGTGCAGCTCGCCTTGGGTCTACATAATGAAATAGCAAATACAACAATGCAGTACATTGATTAACTCTTTTTTCTTAGTGACACTTGCAGACTATCCTTAAGTGTCAATACAGTAGTGGCTGCATTTTGGCTGGCACTCCTGCAGTGTAAAGATAAGACAATTAGCTGTCATTTTCACAGTCACTAATTGCTGATAATGGTGGCAGGGGAGAGGAGCTGGGCATAGGAGATGTGTGCTAAAATCTTTCCTGTGAAACAGGATCTATAGCTGAAATGCATTGCATTTTGAGCATTGTTCCTGCATTTTTGTAACCAATAAAGAACATTTATACAAAGTCATTGCGTTGCCAGCTATTACCTTTGGATTTTTGCTAAAATCTTTGTTGAAGGTTTTAATGATGTGTTGCATCTCTTACTTTCATAATTCTCAAGTGGTGAAAGACCTCACTTAGAGCCATGTCACTCTAGCAGTCCTTGTAGATGCAGTTCAGTGAGAGTGTCAAACAAAAAATCAAACGTTTTAATTGATAAAGTTAACAGAAAAACACAGTACAGCCAATGCATTTTGTCAGCCAAATACACTGACTATTCATCAGCTCTTAGTAACCTTATTGCTGCTTAAAGGACTCAATGGGGCTAATAGCCAGATAGACCTATAGTTTGCTGTTTGTTAAGAATTACACTGAGGTAATTTATACCAGTGAAATAAATGGATGTGTTTATGATGGTGTAAAGATAACATCAGATACTCTTAGACATTTGTTTGGTGCTCTTGGAAAACACACAGCCCCCATTTCCAAAAAAAGTTGGAATGTGGTGTGACAGTGTGGCAATCTGTCACCCAGGATTCTCAACAAGGCAGGTTGAGGGGCTCCAGGAGGAACGTGGCTTTTCACGTTCCTCCTTTGTTTGTAAGGTCCATTTTGGGAGCTGGAGCCAGGAGATTTCGAAGCGATTTGGGAGGGATGAAATCTCCAATCCTGGGACCAGGTTTTGGGAATGGCCAGGAGACTGATTGCACAGGTGTGTGCAGGCCTTTTCAGAGAGTCAGGATCAGGGTTCTGGGCTCCACCCCGGCAGGCAGGAGTCAGGAGGGCTCCACCCCGGCAGGCAGGAGTCAGGAGGGCTCCACCCCGGCATGCAGGAGTCAGGAGGGCTCCACCCCGGCAGGCAGGAGTCAGGAGGGCTCCATCAAGGAGAGGTGGAAGCCAATAGCAGCAAGGGGCTGCTAGAGACTAGCTGTGTGCAAGAGCCATAATTCTTGAAGAAGTCTGCAGGAGACAGACATCAAGCTGAGTATAAGCCAGGAGGCTGAATCGTTGTTTTGTTTGATGGTGGATACCCCTGCGTGGGAAGCTTTATGTTATGGGACATTTGTTTAAATAAAATTGGGCAAAAGGGCCCTTAAAGAAGCGAGTTGCTGTGTGCTTTAAATTAAAAGCTCTACCACTTTGAAGCAAGTTCCCACAGTGGTCTAAAATTTACATAAAAACAGAATGCAATGATCTGCAAATCTCACAAACCCAAATTTTATTCACAATAAAATATTCACAAAAAAAAATAAATGTTTAAACTGAGAAAATTTACTATTTTAAGAAAAAACAAAAAGGTAATTTTGAAGCTGATCTCACAAAAGTTGGGGAAGCTATTTAAAAAGCTGGCAAAGTACAACCCCAATTCCAAAAAAGTTGGGATAGGGCCCAACATTTTGATTTAGTTACCAATACCAAGCATATACTGTAGATCATGTTCATGGAGTTTTGACTTTACTTGCTGCATGTTTTATCCAAGTCATTGACTTAGGGCTGGTTAACACTATAGAACCCCAGTCCAGATGTGTTTTTGCACACGCATTTTTGGTGCGTTCCGGGGCTTCGTGTTTTTATATTCTTCTTTGTTAGATCGGTATTATGGAATAGACATACCCGTGGGTATTTTAATATATTTTCCCTTGTAATCTCAGCTGTTTGTTGTATTATCTCCTGCCAGAATTCCTGAATTTTGGGGCATCCCCACGATATGTGTGTTATTGTACCCTCCATCCCACATCTCCACTAGCAATACATAGAATTCCCTGGTGTTGTTTATGGGTTCTACTAGGTGTAATATACCATCTTGTCATCAATTTATAGTTCATCTCTACAGTATTCATATCCACTGCTCTGTGTGCAATTCTAAATATTTTCCTTCTCTGTTGTTCACTCTGCATTCCCAACTCCTTTTCCCATAAATGCTGGTATAGCCGGTTCAGATGTTATAGAAAGTATCCTATAAATACGTGAAGTACCATGTTTTTGCATTCCATCTGAGTTTAACAATTGCTCAAGTGGATACATATTTTTAGCCGCTCTTAATGGTTGTGGAAGAGATATAACAAAGTGCTTTAATTGGTGGTATCGCCACTCATCAAGACGTGTCCTTTCTTTGTTTCAACTCTTGTAACGTGCCTATTTCTCCATTACTCATAATATCATTTAATCGTGCATTTCTATCTTTAATCCAAATTCCTGCTATACTAATGTTACCCAGTGGAAAAAAATGTGTTTCTTCAAGTGTATTAGTGGTGAATTAAAGCCCCATCCATATTGTTTGTTTGTGAATTAAATCCCATACCTTAAGTACATTTTTGTCAAAGTGCTAGTATTTACCGATAACATCCGATACTTAATATTTGTTCAATCCCTACCCAACTTTTTCCCCGTGTATTATGTACACGCTCAAACCCCCATTTGTTTTGTCTTTACATAATACCCTCGTATTTCACCCTAGATTTTTTATTTAACCATATATATCTCATTATCATTCTTTTTAAAACTCTAAAATACATTTGCAGCGAATATATTGGTAGCATTTGAAATTTATACAGGATTTTAGGCACTATCACCATCTTCAGCATGTTTATTCGTCCTATCTAGGAAAGTGATCTTTTTGAGATTTTCCACAATTCGTCCTTAATCTCATTCAATAATGGTCTATAATTTGTCTGGTATATATTTTTTTAATGATGGAGTCAGCTTTACTCCTAAACAATTAAGTTCTTTATCCCTCCAGGTAAATGGAAACTTTTCTTGTAAAGACTGTCTTTCTATTTTCGATACACTAATATCTAATATCTCAGATTTTGAAAGATTAATTTTAAAATTTGATAGTTCTCCATAGTGTTGTACATACTTGCATAATTAGTCTGGCTAAAAAAGACAAAAGTTTATCCAGTTCAACCATTAAAAAAAAAGTTATAATCCTATACCCACAGTTGATCCAGAGGAAGTCAAAAAACCCCAACAAAGCATGATCCAATTTGCTCCTGCAGGGGAAAAAAATTCCTTCCTGATCCCCCGAGAGGCAATCTGATATTCCGTGGATCAACTTTACCTATAAATGTTAGTAACCAGTTATTTTCTGTGTATCCAAGAAAGAATCCAGGCCATTTTTAAAGCAATCCACTGAGCTGGCCAGAACCAACTCTTGAGGGAGTCTATTCCACATTTTCACAGCTCTCACTGTGAAGAAACCTTTCCGTGTTTGGAGAATATATTTCTTTTCCTCCAGACGTAAAGAGTGCCCCCTTGTTCTCTGTGATGTCCTCAGGGTGAATAGCTCTACACCGAGTTCACTATATGAACCACTGATGCATTTATACACGTTGATCATATCGCCCCTTAATCTCCTGTTCTCAAGAGAGAATAAATTCAGTTCCTCTATTCTTTTCTCATAGCTGAGCTCCTCCATGCCTCTTATCAGTTTGGTTGCCCTTCTCTGTACTTTCTCCAGTTCCCCAATGTTCCTTTTGTGGATTGGTTTTAGTATTCTCATAAGATTTGGAAATATTGTTCTCGGGGTTACTACATAAAACAGCATTTCATCAGCGTATGCTGCCACTTTGTGTTCTACATCTCCAATTTTTAATCCCTTTATACCTACACTCTGCCGTATTGTTGCTAACAGGGGCTCTAAGGATAATACAAATAAAAGTGGTGAAAGTGGGCATCCTTGCCTCGTACCATTGTACATATCAAAAGGATCCAACAATGAGCCATTAGCTTTCACTGCTGCAGAAGGGTAACTATATAAAGATTTTATCCATTTAATCATTTTTGGTCCTAGTCCTATCGCTTCTAAAGTACTCATCATAAATTCACAGTCTACCCTGTCAAATGCTTTTTCAGCATCTACTGACAGAAATAGAACTGGGGATTTCTCCTTCTTGCTTTTTTGTAACAGTAGTAATGACCTCCGACCATTATCTCTTCCTGGTATAAACAACACTTGAGCTATATGAATCCATTCTGGCATTAAATATTTCATTCTGTTAGCAATAACTTTTGCATACAGTTTTGTATCTATATTCAGTAATGCTATCGGTTTATAGCTGGCACATTGTGATAAGTGTTTACCTTCTTTAAGGATGATCGTTATATGTAGAGATGAGCGAATTATTCAAAAATGCGATTCGGCTGATTCGCCGAATTCGCGGAATAAATTCGATTCGAGGCGAATATATATTCGCTGCGAATTTAACTTATAAAAAGGGTGTTTTCTAGGCTTCAGAGAGCCTTTATATTAGTGCAGAACACTGTACCTTTAATTTAAATGCCCTTGGAGTCTGCTGGGGGAAGAGAACTAATACTGTCAGTCAGTATGACATGCAGATGAGTGCCGTCGATCTTAGAATCACCGCACACTTCACTCATTTGGGCAGTCACGGGGCCAAAACCAGAGTGTGGAGCCACAGTGTGGCGGTGGAGGCAGCAGCAATGGGAGGCCATACAGCACCCTATGACAAAATGGAACCCACCAGCAGTGTGAGGAGACCTGAAAGTGGCACATGGCAGAGTGTGGCGATGGAGACAGCAGCAATGGGAGGCCGTACAGGGACCCATGACACACTCTGGACCTGTCAGCAGCATGAGGAGGCGGTACAGGGGCCCATGACAGATTACGGGCCTGGCAGCAGCATGAGGAGTCGGTACGGGGGCCCATGGCAGATTACGGGCCTGGCAGCAGCATGAGGAGGCGGTACAGGGGCCCATGGCAGAGTGGCGGAGCGTGAGCAGCTAAAATTGAAGGCCATACAGAGGCCTATGTTAAAAAGTCCCCCCAGCAGCAGCGTGGGGAGACGACTAATAGTCCATGCTGCTGCTGGGGGGACTTTTTCCCATTGCCTGCTGACTTCATCGCCAGCCACTCTGCCATGTGCACCGCCTCTCTCTTGCTTTCAGGCCTCCTTACACTGTTCGGTGGGTTCCATTTTGTGATACTGGGTGCTGTATGGCCTTCCATTGCTGCTGCCTCCACCGCCACCCTGCGCCATGTGCCTCTATCGTCTGCTCACGCTGCTGACGGCTTTCCGCTTTTTAAACCGAGGCCTGTGTTTGGCTTCCGAATACTGCTGCATCCACCGCCACCCTGCGCCATGTGTCTCTGTCGTCTGCTCACGCTGCTGACGGCTTCCGCTTTTTAACCTAGGCCTGTGTATGGCTTCAGAATAATGCTGCCTACACCGCCACCCTGCGCCATGTGCCTCTGTCGTCTGCTCACGCTGCTGCCAGGTCCATACTGATTCATGGCCCCCTGTACCGGCTCCTCATGAACGTGGTTCAGCGGGTTTGCATCACTTAACGGCAAATCGTTGACAAACGCTGGTACGTTCAGTGTTGTGCGCATTAAGCCAGACACCAAAGGGCAGCACAGACCTGTTATTACTCGCTCAAGCATGGGCTGAACAAAACCAGTCTCTACCACAAATTGGACCCAGACCTGCCCAGGGTCTCGTAAGTAGATTGCACGGAGGAGTAGAGTTCGTTATTGGAATTAACTGTGAGGGACTTTTAAAACCACCTAGGCCTGTGTATGGCCTTCAAT